GGGAGTTGATTTAAGCAGAATCAAGTCAAAGATGGTCTAGAATTGCCTTGGAATACTAAATGATCTGGTAACCCACATTAAGGTAAAACTGTTTTTTCTATACTTGGAGTTTTTAAAATTTAATTTATATCTCTGCTGTCTTCCTCATAGCTAATGCCTATCCATTAAGAAGACAAAATCAAGTAAGTTTCCAAGAACTGTTTAATTTTGTTTTGGAGTTAGAACTTAATTTTCTCCTTTTTTATTTAGAACGTCCTGAAAAATAGTTTAATAACTACCAAATTTAAAATTTTTGTTTTTTTACTAAAATCTAAAGGAAACCTAGTAACCTTTCTGCAACGAGAACTGTAGAATAGTAGCTTTTACTATTTTATTTCAGTTGACGCAAGATGCACTCTTCGTGCCTGCCGAAAATTTGTGACGAAAATAGTTGTTTTTAGTTACTACGGAATTTTTTCCTACAACTTGCGAGTCCCTGATTAAAAGCGTAATAAGTTACAATTATTACTGTCTTTTTGATGAAAGACTAATAAAAAGTGTATAATTATTATGTATAGAGGTATTTGAAGATTTGAGAGCGAGTCTGAAACGGCGTCTGGCTCGAACTAGTACATCAAATTACTGTCTGGTTGTTTTTGTTTTCACCTTTGGGGTTCGGGGATGGTCTCAAAAATTCGTATGATTTTTGAGATTAGTTTCCGAATTTTTAAAATTATTTTGGATACTTCTGACCTTTCGGATTTCGATTGCGATCTACGATATATAAAATTTACAATTTTCAGAAAAAAATCGAACAAATTTCATAATTATATTTTTGACTTGCCTGTACAATTATACTTTTGGTAGTTATTACACTATAAAAAATGTAATCCATTTCTTTTAATAATTTACTTGTTTCTTTCTGAATAGTCCTAATAAGGACGAAACTGGTCCAAGAATGACGTTATCCTTATAGTGAAATAAAATCGCTTCTGAAATTCGCTTTTTTTTAAGGGTGGGTGATTCGGAGGTATAACCAAATAAAATCTGTACCGTCTTGTAGAGGACACTCTGGGGTATGGGAAATGGGAATGTACAACTTTTTTTATTAGGACAAAACTTTGAAAAGAACCCTTAAACGTGGTTGTGCTTAAATTACAAAAACTACATTTTTTTTAATATTAACCGTCGTATTAATTCCAGTATGCAATCTAAAATTCTGATTTTTTGCAGACTTATACTTGAAATGTGAGCGCTTCTAATGGCAATTCAGGAATTTAAAAAAATATTTTAAGGTTTTTTTTTTATTTTTAATGAAAGAAAATAAAATTATCAAAATTGTGCATCCAAAACTTCACCCAGCGGCGAGCTATGTGAATTATTGAAAATTTGTATACATATATATCGAGTTAAATGCAGTTAGAACATTAAAAAAGTTTAAAAAAAAAATAAATTAAGTCGCTATCTTTAACGGCTATAGAAATATGGATATTTTTCCAGGAGCCTTGGAATGCGCGCTGATGCTAAGAGCGGCTACCAGTCTGAAAATGATCTGCGTTAGCTTTGGGTACATCTAGAAATAAATTTAAAAAATCTATAAATATAGAGTAAGTAAAGCGTTGTGTATGAAACTTACTTTAAATGTTTTTCTCTTCGTCATCATCGTATAAATATAAATCAGGAACATTATTTTGACAATTTTTGCAAGAACAATCGCTGCAGCATTTTAAGCCCTCTTTTAAGCATACAGATTTATTATCGTGACATAACTGGCTAATGGACTTAGTATCCGTAACCAAGGGAAACCTAAATCTAATTTTTAATTTCCAGAAACTTCATATGTATACGCATCTGTGAAATCATAGAAATCTTAGAGAACTGGTGAAGTTCAGGAATTTTTTGAGATTGTCAGAAAATAAATGATCCCTACTAAAATTTGTGACCGCTTACCTTCTGGAACATTCAGCTGATCACTTACGAATAGAAGAAACTCTGATCATTGCTGGTGGTTTTGAAAATCCAGAGTTAGGCTTCTCTGTTAACAAGGATGGTGTAATCAAATTGAACGATTTGAAATCGAATCACGATGAGGCTGATACGCGAATTATACTCCATGTTTTATATGAATATCAGATACTTGATAAAAAAAGTATTGGTCATATCTGAAATAGTGCAGAAACTTGGAAATGGGATTTATGAGTGTTTGCTGGCGTTGCATGTGTTAACAGGATTCGATACCACGAATGTAATGTTTAAGATTGGCAAAAAAACGATTATGATGTATTTTATAAAAACCTGAGAACCTTTAAAGAACCGTCAAAACTGTACATTCAAACTCTCAATGTACTGAGGTACCACTTGACCACAACTTCCAATAAGTCCGCTTCAGAACTTCCCCCAACAGATAACGCATTTCACCAGCATGTACTGAGGTAAGGTCTACTAATATTACAAAAAAAACTCTATTTATGCGATTACTGCGTATATGGATATCCAGTCATATACCTATTATGCCTTTAGTTGACCCTGTTGACCCAGCGGATATAAGGCAACTAATAAACATCTTCTGCAAAGATAAATTATGTTACGATGTGTGTGTAATTTGATTTAGGTTTCCCTTGGCTACGGATACTAAAAAGGCTTACCAAAAGAGGGCTTAAAATGCTGCAGCGATTGTTCCTGCAAAAATTGTCAGAACAATGTTCCTGATTTATATTTATACGATGATGATGAATCCGAAAACATTTAAAGTAAGTTTCATACATAATGCTTTACTTATTTTATTATATAGATTTTTTAAATTTATTTATAGATGTAACCAAAGCTAACGCAGGTCATTTTCAAACGGGTAGCCACTCTTAGCATCAGCGCGCATTCCAAGGTTCCTAGAAAAAAATCCATATTTCTATAGCCGTTAAAGTTAGCGACTTAATTTCTTTTTAAAAACTTTTTTAATGTTCTAACTGCATTAAACTCGATATATATGTATAAAATTTTTCAATAATTCACATTGCTCGCAGCAGGGTGAAGTTTTGGATGCACAATTTTGATAATTTTATTTTTTACATTAAAAAAAAACTTTAAATATTTTTGAAATTCCTAAATTGCCATTAGTAGCGCTTGCATTTTAAGTATAAAGACTAGACAAAATCGGAATTTTAGATTGTATATTGGAATTAATACAACGGTTAATGTTAAGAGAAATGTAGTTTTTCCATTTCGAACTTAGTCACGTTTAAGAGCCATTTACAAAGTTCGGTCCTGTTAAAAAAAGTTGTACATTTCCATTTTCAATGCCCCATACTGTTTTCTACAAGATGGTATAGTTTTCATTTAGTTACACCTCTGAATCACTAAAAGTCATAAATTCATTGCGAATTTACTCCACTATTAGTGTTTAGTTTAATTTATATCTCTGCTGTCTTCCTTTGGAAGTAATTAAATACCTGTTGAGGTATTAGCCAGGGGAGTAGTTGTTTTCCAAAGGGAAATGGTCGTACCTATTTTATAACATGGCTTCGTGATTTATTTATTTTTATTTTAATTATTAATTACTCAGAATCATAAGTGGCTGGAAATTCAGTTCAGCTTCAGATCTTAAGTACTGAAATAAAAGAGATATAAAAGTTGCATCTACGTTACACATTTTTTATCGTTCAGCAATCCATTTACATAGTTTTTTTTTAACAATGTTGCCGATCCTGTACCGACTTGAAAAATTGGCTAGTTTTAATTCATTCGGTATTTTATCTTAACACGTCTCTACTTTCTGACATAATTCAGAACTTTATTGAGTTTGTGCAATGCATCCGTTTTTTATGTTTTGTTGGGGTTTTCTAACGAAACTGTTGATGATACGTTCAAGCTACTTTTTCCAAATTGTCCCTCTTAAAAATATATAAGTTTAGATTATTACAAGATTTTAAAAAACTCGGTATAACCGAAAACATTATACAAATATACCATAGTACACATTTGAACATTGTACCTACTTCCACAAACATTTAAATAATCAAGATCATTAGCTTGGGACATCCTGTAAATCAATTTTATAATTTTGTTCGCATAAAAATTTGAAAATCTGACAAATCACCGCTACTAGGGCTTTTTTAACCTTTTGAAGCTCAGTTCTGAAATAAACGAAGAAAACATTTTAATACAACATTTATTAAAGTAAGACGAACTAAAATTACAAGAAAATGATAATTCTAAACAATCCAAAATGCCATTTACAGTCAAAGACGAGCGTCAGTTCTATATAACTCCTGATGATTCCGTAAAAATTATAAAATGTCTTTCTCAGTCAAAGTTTTATTTTAGATTTATTTGATATGTTTGATTAGTTATCCACTTATAAGGAAGTTTTAACACGTCCGCTACCATATCCCTATATACGTTTAATTAATTTGTTTAAAACAATCATTTTTATGAATGCAATAAAAATTGATGATTTTTATTAAACAAATGAAATTTGCATATTTACGTAACTGGGGAAATACTGGTCATGCGTTACTTTTTAAAATGTGTATTTAAATACTTCGAAAACTATTATATTCATCAACAAATCACAAAATGACATTTATTTATTTTCTCGGTAGTAAATAATAAATAAATATATACCTACCTACTTCCATTTTAGTTAGTTTCAAGGTCGCCATAAATTTTTCGATTATTTTATGCAAAATTATCAAGTCTAGATTTATTATATTCATCATTCCTAGTTTTATTTACAGGAGAAGTTACTTATAAAATTATATATGATAGCGGACGTGATAATTTAATTGAAAAACTAAAATAACTATTTTTAACCTACAGCAACCTATCACAAATCAAATAAAAATTTCCTAAACTTTTTAAAAACAATACAAAAATTATTTTAACTTGTAAGTGGATAAATCGCAAGAATTTACTTTTCTTTTAATATTATTTATTTATAAATTTAAAACTCATCCTTGAATTTCATATTCTTCAAATTCTTCAGATTCAAAACTTTGAGATGATTCGAAATGTGTACTGAATACCTTTTTGTTTTCTGATACTTGGACATTTTCCGATTGCATCACGTTTTTCGTCGAATGAACTTGTTGACTTCTGTTGTCTTCTACGACTGATTTGTTTATGGTACTGTCGAAAGTTGCCTTCTTCTCTGATATCTGGGTATGGCCAAGATCTTTTTGCATCTATAAATAAATAAAATATTAACTAAAAGTGAAACTTTTTAGATATTAAGGAGGAGATATATAATGAGTACAAGCAAGCCAAATATATGTAACAATCAGTACTGGACAGGGATTCTTATGTGCATACTCAACACGTAACCAATCAAATAGAGAGAAACATTACATACAAATCACATTTTGTGGAAAGAAGATAGAAGCTTCTCAACACGTGCCGAATTGAAAGATGAGAATCCCACGTTTGATCTTTAAAAGTAGAAATTTTAATTAACACTTGACGTTTTCAGGACACGGACTTGGTTATACCTAGTTAGTTGAATTTTTGTTCTGCTGCTTTTCAAATTCCTGTGATGTGAGATACCTTTATAGAGACAACGGTTGAACAACTTTAAAGAAGAAAATCGATTAGATAAGTCTTCGCAAATGTAAAAAGGACAGAAGTGTTTTAAATTTTTTTTATGTATGTGATTAGAGTGTCAAAAATGTTTGAATTTCGAAACTAAAATATTAGTTTTTAGTGAAAAGTTTAATTACTTTTAGTTCAAAATATAACGTTAGTTTATCAAGGGAAATATATAATACACAAGGTTAGAGTAACAAAATAGAGATTTTGCTTTATTTCTTGAGAATTACTTTAATCTAAAACTTTTCTAGTATATTGTAGAAATTTATTCTATACGTTATTTAGGTACTGCAAAATCTATAGAAAAGTATGTCGTTTTAAATATAAAAAATTTAGTGTATTTTTTTTTTTACAAATATATACTCAGTGACTTTTTATTATGAATTAATTTGAATTTATTTAAAAAAGGGAACTATATGTATATGGTTTTCTTAGTTTTTACACTTGTAATAAAAATATCAAAGTTATATATATTGGCTATTTACTACATACAGCAAATTCATAGACACAATACATATAACTATTTGACATTTTTATTAAACTCAATAATTTAAAATTAACTTTAAACTAAGTGACTACACACAGAATTGTTTGAAAGCAGCCATAAGGTAAAATGTATTTATTGGATACTATAAAAAATTAATAGTAGTTACATGTAGAGTTAAGTTACAAGAAATTTAAAAACAAATCAAAACAAACCTTTATATCTAGTGAACTTAATTCAGTACCGTCAAACGGGGTGAAATGGATCAAAAATATCTGGTTTTTCAAGATTCTGCCTATATCACTTGATTTTTCTCAACGAAAAAATTAATGTAAAATCTTTGGACATTCAGTTGTAGTTCACATTATGTAAAAAAAAAATTAGTAATGAAAACTTCTGGTATTTTTTTTGTTAAAGTATGATCCATTTCACCCCGTTATATGGGGTGAAGTGGATCACCTATTTATTTAACTTATAAATCCATTTTAACCTCGTCAAGTTTGAATTGGATCAGAAATTTCAGTTTTAAAAAATTAAAAAAAACTTTACAAAAAAACAACACAATTTTTATATTGTTTTTAGTCAAAAACTACATTAAAAAACTTTTATTTTAAAACACTGTAAGAAAAACAAAATTAATATTCTTTAAATAATAAAATTTGCTAATGGTGATAATTACAATAAAAAATCATTCTTTGGCAATAAAAAAAAATACAAAAACACCAAAAATATGAAATAAACTAAATTCAATTATTGTAGAATGAGAGTAGAAATATTTTTGAAACTGTAGTTTCCTTCTCCTGGACTTTACAGTTAGTTTTTTTATAATTTAATTTTTTTGAACGGTGGAAATATCCGGAACATCCGGATATATAAAGAAATTTTCTTTGTTGCCGATACTGGGTTTTTCTTAACGAGCTGAATGTGTACTGTTCACCATCTTTTTCCATGTTGATTATCAAAGACATAATTTAGAACTCGTTTGCTTGTTGAGAACTGTGTTATAACAAAATCTCCAGGTACCCAGCCATCTTTGTTATTTTCTGAAACTGTTTCCTCAGTCTCTGCCCCTGAAACTTGTGCCTCTTCTTCTGAATTTTCATTTTCTAAGAGATGTTCTTCCTCATCACTAGGAAGTTGTTACCAATGGTCTGGATATGGTTCAATATTTTCATCCAATTTTTCATTTTCTTCAGATTCTATTAATGTCGGTAAAAAAACTGCTATAGACACACTTTTTCCAGAAGGCAAATTCATCCTCTTACCTCGTTTTGGAGCCGTTTCACCCCCTTCTCATTTTCCTTCAATGTTCAACAATTGTATTTGTCCAAGCCATATTCACATATTGACGTTCTTCTTTTTCTTTTTCTTTTTCTTTTTCTTTTTCTTTTTCTTTTTCTTTTTCTTTTTCTTTTTCTTTTTCTTTTTCTTTTTCTTTTTCTTTTTCTTTTTCTTTTTTTTTCTTTTTCTTTTTCTTTTTCTTTTTCTTTTTCTTTTTCTTTTTCTTTTTCTTTTTCTTTTTCTTTTTCTTTTTCTTTTTCTTTTTCTTTTTCTTTTTCTTTTTCTTTTTCTTTTTCTTTTTCTTTTTCTTTTTCTTTTTCTTTTTCTTTTTCTTTTTCTTTTTCTTTTTCTTTTTCTTTTTCTTTTTCTTTTTCTTTTTCTTTTTCTTTTTCTTTTTCTTTTTCTTTTTCTTTTTCTTTTTCTTTTTCTTTTTCTTTTTCTTTTTCTTTTTCTTTTTCTTTTTCTTTTTCTTTTTCTTTTTCTTTTTCTTTTTCTTTTTCTTTTTCTTTTTCTTTTTCTTTTTCTTTTTCTTTTTCTTTTTCTTTTTCTTTTTCTTTTTCTTTTTCTTTTTCTTTTTCTTTTTCTTTTTCTTTTTCTTTTTCTTTTTCTTTTTCTTTTTCTTTTTCTTTTTCTTTTTCTTTTTCTTTTTCTTTTTCTTTTTCTTTTTCTTTTTCTTTTTCTTTTTCTTTTTCTTTTTCTTTTTCTTTTTCTTTTTCTTTTTCTTTTTCTTTTTCTTTTTCTTTTTCTTTTTCTTTTTCTTTTTCTTTTTCTTTTTCTTTTTCTTTTTCTTTTTCTTTTTCTTTTTCTTTTTCTTTTTCTTTTTCTTTTTCTTTTTCTTTTTCTTTTTCTTTTTCTTTTTCTTTTTCTTTTTCTTTTTCTTTTTCTTTTTCTTTTTCTTTTTCTTTTTCTTTTTCTTTTTCTTTTTCTTTTTCTTTTTCTTTTTCTTTTTCTTTTTCTTTTTCTTTTTCTTTTTCTTTTTCTTTTTCTTTTTCTTTTTCTTTTTCTTTTTCTTTTTCTTTTTCTTTTTCTTTTTCTTTTTCTTTTTCTTTTTCTTTTTCTTTTTCTTTTTCTTTTTCTTTTTCTTTTTCTTTTTCTTTTTATTTTTCTTTTTCTTTTTCTTTTTCTTTTTCTTTTTCTTTTTCTTTTTCTTTTTCTTTTTCTTTTTCTTTTTCTTTTTCTTTTTCTTTTTCTTTTTCTTTTTCTTTTTCTTTTTCTTTTTCTTTTTCTTTTTCTTTTTCTTTTTCTTTTTCTTTTTCTTTTTCTTTTTCTTTTTCTTTTTCTTTTTCTTTTTCTTTTTCTTTTTCTTTTTCTTCTTGTGGTGTGCGAAAATGTGCTATTTTTTTCAAAACTGCTTCGGGATTAAATGGTGAAATGCCGCAGGACTTGAATCCCGCTAATGTATTTGTTTTTGACTTAGCACCAACCTTATCTAGGGTCTCGTTTAACAGCTTCGGAAACAAGGTCTTTGGTAGGACGCCCCTATTTTGTAGTTTCCACTTATCTAACACATTTTGCAATGCCGCCTTTAAAGGCCGGAAGTAAGCTACATCTAATGGCTAGAGCAAATGGGGGCAATTTGGTAGAAGCAATACAAATTTCATGTCGTTTTTTTTCGCAATGTTCAATTACTCTTACGATTAGATAACTACATAAATTATCACCAATTATTACTTTAGTTCCATCAAGTGATCTGAAATAAGGCAAAGCTGTGTTTAAAAACCAATATTTAAATGTGGTTGCATCAAACCAACCATTTATTTTCCTATTGTCTCTGGAACCTGGAAATCCCCCTTTTAGCCATCCTGGATACAAATGCCTCGCTTTATAAACTGTATATGGGGGTAAGAAGGTTCCATCGCCTGCTATAGCAAACATTACGCTTGTACTGCTTTTTGATGAATCTATAATTCAATGCGAATGTTTCGAACCCCTCCTAACCACCACTTTTACCAGGGTCGTCTCTGAAATTGGTCTGATCGTAATTTACAATATTACACGCCGGGACATCATTGATAGATACTTTGAGATGATTAAAATATTCTTCTACAATTTCATACGTCACTGCTGCTCTCACACGTTTTGTATTCTCAGCTAGTTTTATAGTTAAATTGGGGTGCCTTGTCATGAACAATTTAAACCAATCAATTCCTGGTAAATTGTCTTTAAAACGTTTCTCATGTTTACCACTTCAGGAACTGTTGAACCATAAACCTGATATCAAAACTATTTAAGGGGAATCCCCATTCAGCACATACCAGAAGCACATCCACCAATGTATTTTCTTTTTCTGAGGTTAGTGCTGGTTGCCCACCTAATGACGAGAAGTGCTTTTCGTTTACTCTGTAATTAAGGGTAGTATAGGGAACAGCATACATTTCCAATGCTCTTCTTATGCTCATACGACCCGCTTTAACTGCTTGTAAAGCTCTTTCTAGAAACACGGTATTATAATTTCTACTTCGTCGCAACCCTAATACTTTCTTGTAATTTCTTGGCATTTTTAACCATAAAAAAAAACATCGTCAGTAGGTAGGTACCTTATGTCCGAACATGTGCATGAGCGTGATCATTGATAAAACAGTTACTAAAATGATATTAATATAATTAACATAGATGATTTAAATCACCCCCATATATTGAGATTAAAAAAAAACTGCCAACTAAATGAATAAAATGAAAATATAGTATCACCCATGCCTTCTAGAAACATAAAAAAAAACATAATGAAAAATCTCAACATACTTCAAATTTTAAATATAATAGTTTGTTTTCAAATATTTTTAAATTACTCATTTTCACTACTTACGTATAACAATTTTTATTAACATTTCAAAC